CCACACATTTAAAGATTTGCAAGCATTTGGTATTAACTGTTGCTGGATGCTATTGGCTTTCATGCTGTGCAATGTTGTGCTCTTTCATGTCTGTTCAAACTTCTTGCTAAATCTTGTCCGGAAGCCACATTCAACACCTGGAAAAGTTAATTCTCTACGAATTTGAATCTCCCCCCCCCCTTTTGTGTTAACATTAGCAAGGTGTCTAAACTGACCCACCATATTGTGTGTTAAGTTGTGGGTGAACATATCAGACGACACAGCGATTCTTCAAACAGCTCTTGTTTATTCACAGTCAAGAACAGAACTGAACTGAAGGGTTCAGCCAGCCTGCTTATATAGAGCTCCACTAGAACGCAACAGTAACCATTTTCTGTAACTATCCAATCACTGAGCGTCACTTTCGATCCCTTATTTGCATATGTGGACCTGAACTATCTACAGTATCCCCCTGCTGGCCCAGGGTGAGAACTTCAGTACATAACATTGTGACTGTTACATTGCTCACATGTGGGGTCAGGATGAAGTCAGAAATGTTATCGTTTATTTTGTTTACACTTCCAGATTATATCTAAGAGCAGCCTGCATATGTCTGGACTACCGTTCTGATTCCATATCTACAAGCAAGTTTTAGCAGTTTTTCATACAGGTAAGCCCTAAGGCAAACCAAAGAACACAGTAAAACAAAGCTTATTTCATTCTGAAAATTACTTGTATGATCTTTTGCTTTTCAACCTGCCTGCAATTTACAAAGGTTAAGGTGGCTAAATAGTAACTGTGATGCCTCTTCCTTTCCTTTCCTTTCCTTTCTTTTGTGAATGTTTTATTTAAAATTAAAACTCCTTACCTAGCTTTGTGTTAAGTTTTGAATTCATTTAATTTTACTTTTCTTCTTTCATTTGTTCATGTTGTTTTTAGTGTGACACACTTTCCATCTTGGGGCTGCAGGTATTTCTCAGTCCTGTTTTTATTCTTATTTACTTTCATTCCTATTTAGCCTCCTTGCTACTAGTGACAATGTGGGGTGGGGTTTGGGTTTTTTTGCCAATTACATCAAAATGCTACATCTGAAACAGTGCCATAGACATCCATATACAAATTGTGTGATGCCACAGCCAATAAGATCAAATGATAGTGAAAGCTGATGAAGAAAGTATGGTTGAAGAAGAAGAATGAAGTGCATTGTATGAAACAGCAGCAGCAGCAGCAGGGAAACAAAAGGGCACTCAAGAGCAGGGGGGAAACATAATCAAGGTGGGGGGTTTCTTTGTGTGTGTGTGTGTGGGGGGGGAATAATTGCCTTAACTTCAGATATGCTCATTTTCAAGCAAATATAGAAATCAGTGAGCATTTGGTGCAGCATACATTCTTACAATAGAGGCATTTAATTTTATATGATCATTTACAATGATAGTCTACAGTGAGGTTTACCATGGTGTTCATTATGTCTGATCATACTTGAGAATAATACACCATGAAAGGCAGGTAGCCTCCTGCCCTTCAGAAGCAAATTGGCTGTGCTTCTTCAGAATGTGCTTACCTGTCTGTTGACTTCTTGACATTTTAGCTATACAAATAGACTTGCTATCACCGGGTGTTCATCTTTAAGAACCTTTAGTATAAAACTTGGTTTGTGAGTAAATGAATGAATGAATGAATTTTTATTCACTTTAGATTTCTGGTGTGTGCTGCTCTGCATGTGATGACTTTCCTTTCCATAAAGCAAGGCTAAATAAGGACTCTGCTACACAGCTGCAATTATAACGTTGTAAGTGCGTTATAAAAATGTGACACCAGATGGTGATGTAGAGCTCAATGGCAAATTACATGTGTAAGAAAAACATCTGCTCTATACAATGAAGTCTGCAGTGCTTTTTTCTGGGGGGACGCAGGGGTATGCACACCCCTAAATATTTTGTGAATCTACATTTGGCCTCATTGGATGGAGGGTACTGCTTTTGCAACCTCCATGCTCCCAAGTCAGTATGCATGGTATTGCACGCTGGATCAGAAAGGAATTACCTTTCCTTGCTCTCCCAAAGAGTTCTCGTGTTGATCTGTTGTGCTAAAAAAATAAACACATAACCTGAATACTTATTTGTGAGTAATCCTATCAAAGCCAGCAGGACTGCATGGGTTTGGGAATTCTAAGTTGTGGTAGCTATGCTGGAAATTGAAGCAGGTCAGTCTTTGTTCCAGATTAGTTAATCCAGAACATTTTACCCCTGCTTTCATCAACCATCTGCTTTGGTTAGTTAGATAATTCCTGAGGTAGTATAGTGTTCAACAGCAAAAGGATTCCCCAACCCTGTTATAAACAGAAGATGGTGAGGACTGTTGGGATACTGCCAGGGAGACAAAGGCCATCATGCCCCATGCCGTCTCCGGACGATCCAGCGATCTCTCGTAGAAACGCAGTATCAGTTAATTAGCGACATGAGCCCCAGAAATAGCTTCCTACATTCCAGAGCTCTTGCACGCTCTATCAGCAGAGTTCGCACAGCGAAAGATGCACGCAGGAGAGCATTATTTACAATTTTATTCAGCGTTGGTCAGAACACAGAAAACATGACTGCCTGCGTTGATGTCTCAGGCACAGAGAGAAACGAAAGCAATAACAAAAAGAGAAACTTCCTGTGAACAGGAAATACGCAGACTCTGTGACTCACAAAGCCTGCTCCCTTTTAAGGTGGAACGGAAATATCCTAAAAAGGACAAGAAAAATACAAATGGCAGCAGGGACTTTGTGGCTTTTTATAAGGACTATAACTGTTGTGTGTGCGTGCGGGGGTGTGATTAACAAAATCAATCCTCCTGCCAAACTGGGAATATCCCCTCACGGACACAGTTTAGGACATTCCACACCTTTCTTCAGCAGAGTTTATTTTTCTTTGAGACAAATAAATGGCTCACATAAATGTAAACTAAGCTTTAATAATAAGGACAACTGTAACAAAACAACATGATGAGAGAAACTAAATACAACATGAGGCAAGAAACAAGAAGAGAAAGTTCAGACTCAGCTATACAGCAGCAAATAAAACACTTTAAATGTATTGTATAGTGCAATATACAAATGTGACAGTAGATGGTGATAGTGAGCTATGCCAAATTCAATGTATTTTTTTTTAAAAATTAAAAAACATTTTCATGGCATTTTGTGTGTGTGGATTCCACCTTGGTCCCTCTTAATGGAAACTTAAAGGAAAACCCTGAAGGGAGGGGCTGATTCCAGAGCAGAACACACAAGCCCCGCCCACCAGGTACCAAGCATTCTACTGATCAAATTAGGCCCCAGTGTAGACCACCTGAGTGCAGCCCTGTCATCTACAATTACATTATATCAAATATCTGGGCTTCAAGAGCCACTTCTGGGCTTGAAGGACTAATGCACTTAGTAAATGGCAGCGACATATCTTCATCACATTGTTACCAGTTTCTGGGTGCCAGACCTCTAAATTCCTGGATCCAGCAAGTGTTAGAATTTAATAAAGGCTTGGGGTTCTAAACTGTGTGCCAGACACTTCTAACCCCTACACCCAACGTGTTGCAAGCTAATCAAGCCTGCCTGGCCTCCTGAGTGATGTACGTAAGGTACTTAAGTGTGCAAAGGGTCAAAGGGCTCCTGCTAGATGGCAAATGGATGGAGCCCCCCTCTCTCAACAGATAAAGCCACAGTATTAGGACACAGTTTGCTGTAGTGTGACCTAGAGAAAAAAGCTAGAGGCTGGAAAAGCCGAGGGAGAGAGGGCCATGGCTGGTTTCTGCTTGAAGCCTAGGCTGTGGCTATAGCAGAAAGAAGACACCTTTGAGGTGTTGATGCTGTGAACTCCTCCATTGCAGGCTCAGTTGCATATATGTGTAAATAAACCATATATCTTAAAGACACCACAGACTGTGCTTCAATTCCCAAAGGAAACACGAACCCTGGGTAAGTGCCCAGAACCCCTGGAATCTCAGAGATGGGGGTGTCATGAAACAATATGGTGATACAGAAACGACATCAGCTGCTCCCAGTTCTAAGAAAAGGGATGTAATTTTGAATACCTGTCACTAGCAACAAGCAGCTTCTTCCGATTATACAAAACAAAATCTTCCTTCTCACGGGATCACAAATAATCAGGACTCATTTTTACCGTTGGCCTCAATTTTATTTTGCAATTTCATTTCTAGGCCCTTTTAGATATGAGAAATGTAAAACAGCTTTTGCAAAAGCACCTTGCACGAACTTCTAAGTATCCCTAGGTAGTTTGTCCTCCTCCGTACTCCTTATCTCTACCAGTGGCAGCTAGGCCAGATCCCAGCTGTGGAGCTCTTGGCTGTAGGCCAAAGCTCTTTCAATCAGCACTAGCCTATCTGATGTTTTTGCATGTACTTTACCAAGTTTGTGCATGAAATACTAATGATAGGTGTCAGCTACTCTTATGGTTCCTTTTACCTGTGTTCAGACTTGCATATATATTGGCCCAATACATTGGTTCTTTGTTTTTTATTAAAAGTGAGAGAGAGCAGGAGGGAGACAATATATATATTAGGGTAAAAAAAAAAGTAGAAACATTTCCCCTTTTACCTGTATTTGTGATTGTTTTCCTAATAGCCGACAGGAAAAAATTGTGATTCGGAAATGAAGAATAGATGGTTCATATAGTAAGGTTGCCAGATTTTTTTCAATGAATCTAGGGACACTTTAAATACATACATGCATACATACATGCACACACGTTCGGACGTTGATGCTGCAGCGATGGGGGTGGCAGAGGGGCGGCTGCCGCCTTGACCTCAACCGCCACATTTCCCCTTCCTCCAGGGGTTTCTATCTTCTTTCTCCATGAGTCTGGGCAGCCCCTGAGTTGTTGGTTCTCCGGTGCTGGTGGTGGGGAAGCGGTGCGTGGCGGATCAGGCATGGAAGGTGGAGAAGGAGGGCCCAGAGCGGTGGCGGTGGCGAGGCTTGGGTAGCGTGATGCCTCCCTTCCCATTGGAGCAGCCCCAATCACACTCCTACTTGCATGCAAGCAGGAGGGGGCAGGGATCCCTCAGCTGGGAAGGGAGGCTTCACGCTGCCTTTTGGAGCAGCCCCATCCCAACTCCTACTTGCATGCGAGCAGGAGGGGGTAGGGATCTCTCAGGCAGCGCGATGCCTCCCTTCCCATTGGAGCAGCCCCAATCCCATTCCTACTTGCATGCAAGCAGGAGGGGGTGGGGATCCCTCAGCTGGGAAGGGAGGCTTCCCATTGCCTAACTGAGAGATCCCTGCCCCTTCCTGCTTGCACGCAAGTAGGAGTTGGGAGGCTGCTCCGATAGGCAGCATGAATCCTCCCTTCACAGGAAGGTGGAGGCAGCCCAGAAGCTGCATCTTAGAGCCTCTCTACCACCATCATATGGGGACTTCTGAGCAGCTCCTGAAGCCAGCCAGAGTCAACTGCTCCGGGCTGCTGAGACTGCCGCTGCTGCGTTTCCCGGGGACGTTAGATGAAATCTGGGGACATTTGGTGGATGGAATTTGTCTGGGGACTTATTTGCAAATCCAGGGATTGTCCCCGGGAAACGGGGATGTCTGGTAACGCTAAGTTAGATTGCAATATAAAAAATGAAACTTGCACGCAGAAGAATTTGTAGGTGGCATGGTGCCACAACAGGTGCCTCTTTCACCTGATATTCTGGACATAACCTCAGTACATGTACCTTCCTTGTGATGTTAGAAAAGCTATGCATAGATTTTACAGTTAGCAGCACATTATGATTAACAAGTAGAAATAGTATTAAGCAATTTGTAAACAAAAACTGAAAATACATTTTCTCTGCTTTTGCTTACTGAATTTCTAAAATGTTTTTTGGTAGATCACGTATATTTGCTGCTTCCCAGAACAAAATCCAACAAGGGTATATATTTTATTTGCTGGCTAAAAATTATACCTCATAGAAGTATTCTCCCTCCCCACTCCAAAGTCTTTTATTTCAGTACCTTTAAATAACATTTTATTGTCCTGGTTTCATTCAGCCTCTGTAAGAATGGCTAACCAAAATGGCATTTTAAATCACTGAGAAACGTTGAAGATATGATATGCAAGGTCACAGCGGGCTTCTTTTTCTCTAAGTTATCTTCTCAGCCTGTCTCTAATTCTTTGCTGATGTATGAACTTGGATTGGGATGCACCTTAAACCCTCCGTGGGGAAAAAGCTTAATATGGAATTGATTCAAAAAAGCTTGTTTGGGCAGAAGACCTAAATTGGGTTTCTAATAAAGCAGGAAGGCTTGGCAGTGTAGCAGCAAGATAAAATGATAGCTGAATGATAGAATGAGTCTAGGAAGACATTGGCAAAAATGGCAACAAGAACTTTAATAATAACAATTCCTTATGGCATACCTTAGTAGGTTAAGTGCCCAGCAAGTAAGTCAAGTGCTGAGCAAAGTTGAATTTATCTGCTTTTTTTATATCTACTAAGGCATGGCAATGCCCAAAACTTTAATTGTCACTTAGCTACAAGTTACATGATCACAGACCAAAACAAAAACGTACAAACTGTGTTATTTTAAATATAGCTGCTGCATTCCGCCACTCTCAGTTTTATTCCTAACAGTCTTTGTGTTAAAAGCAAATTAGATGCTTTCACAATAATTAGCTCTCTGCTTCACCCAAGATCTCGCCTGGGAATGGCAATAAATGTTTGAAAGGGGGATGAAGAAGAAATCTGAGTTAGGGGAGTGCTTTTTTCAGCCTTATCAACTCATACTCACTTAATTATATTGTTTTATATGCTCTGCAGGAGAGGGCCTCTTGCCAAGACCGTCTTATCAGGAGGTCTGTTCTGCACAGTGAAGGAGTAGGGTCTTTAGTGTTGTGGCACCTTCCCTTGGAATGCCCTTCAGACATTGTCTCTGTTGTCTTGTTGGCGCCTGCTGAAGATCTTCCTCTGTCAACAAACCTTTTAAAACAGTGATCTTTCCTCGTCTGCATCTGTATTGTGATTGGTTTTAGATGTTTTGATTGTTTTTGCACTTGCGTGTTTGCTGCCTTGGGCTCTTTTGGGAGGCAGGGTAGGAAATACAGTAAATTGAATGAATGAATGAATGAATGAACGAATGAATATTGATAAACATGAAGGTGGGTATTACTCATGGAAAGAAGGAAGGCACATCTGGAAAAAAGCTTGAATTGAGTTGACTTATTCCTTTAAAAAAAGCAAGTATGTCACTTCCGGGGCTCCGGGGCCTGGCTTCACTCTCAAAAAAAGAGGTAGTAGTTGCTGGCAGGGTTGTCCTTTACATTCTTAGACTAGCAGGCCAATGGCAGCCTTTTCTAGAGAAAACTGATATTTACACAATTGCATGCCTGGGCTGCTTTGTGATTGGACTGCTGTCATGTGCTGTATGTAAGACTGACCTTTAAGAGTGTTCAGAAACTGCAATTACTGCAAAATATGGCAACAAAGAGAGGGCTTAGTCATATATTGGATCAGTTGTGCTGACTTCCAGTAAGTTTCTCAGCACAATTCAAAGTGCTCATTTTCACCTAAAATGCCTAAGACCAGACTATCCAAAGGACTGCCTCCAGCCATGTGAACCTGCTGAGATAATTGGAAGGCACTCCACTGTGGATCCCTTTACCTTGTGAAATGGGGTTGTACAGTTGGGCCTTTTCTCAGTGGCAGCCGTCAGATGGTGGAAGAGAGAGCTAGCCAGTAGTAAAGGCCAGGAGGTTCAACTTGCTCCATCACTTAGCACGTTCAGGTAGAAAATGAAAATTGGAAAATGTTTTGTTCGAGTGTTGTTGCTGTTTTTGCAGAATTCAATGCTGTGCAGGGTTGAGTTTAAATTATTATTGCTGTTTAACTTGTATGCTATATAGTGAATTAAGTTTTTATGATTGTGTGCAATTGTAAGCCACTCTGGGAATCCCTGGTATCAAAGATGTATATTGAGCTGCTTTTGTAATTTATTCACTGTGCTGGGAATTTTAACCTGACTTATTTTGGCTGCTAAAACAATTGAGGAAAGGACAGACCCCCCAAGTGCCCCTATTTTCCAGGAATGGAGTTATCTGACCCCCCAAGCCATCTGAAGGCAATCCTGTATAGGGAAGTTTTTTTAATGTTTAATGTTTTATTATGTTTTATATATGTTGGAAGCTGCCCCGAGTCGCTGGGGCAATGCAGTAAGATGTGTGGGGTATCGGATCCCAGAAGGCAGACCTATCTTAGAAAAGTAACATATACCTGGAAACTATCCCATAAAGAGACAGTCCCTTTGTCCTCCCTTGGCTGGAAGCCAAGAGAGCATCTTTGGCTAAGCAGATGTTGCTTCTTAGACGAAAATAGTCAGAGAGAGAGAGCGAGATGGCTGCCCTGCCCTGCCCTGTGCTTTTGTCGTTACCTGCACAGGTGAGGCCATGCCCACTCTAGTCACATACAGAGGAAGTCTGTCCCAGCCCAGAAGGAAACAGGAAGTTTACTTGCTGGCTGGACAAACATTCCTCCCCATGTGTAAACATATTCACTCTAGGAATGTTGTACTTGACTGCTCTTGTGTTTCACATCCCACAGGCAGCAGTGGCTGACCAGAGGACTCCCAAGGAGAAGGGAAGGGGGAGAGGAGGCTGAAGGAACACTCCACAGGGAGGGTGTTCGAAAAAGGTGAGGGGCTGCCAGCTCTGCAGGCAAGGGGTGACCTAACTGGGCTCCTGAGTCCCACAGGGGTGCCACAGAAAGGATGTAGTTGGTCAAGGGAGCTGTGGACTCAAAAAGGTTGAAAACCTCTGGTACGCTTTGCAAGCTCAGTAATGCTGACTTGGAAAGAATTGAAACTATGAACATGTGATCCTTGCACCTCTTTGGGTGCATAAATATGGAAGGAATCCTGCATAAATTCATATCTTCCAGCTCGTATATGATGCCACATTCATATATTCATGAAATCTGGTCCCACTCCTCACTCCCAAATCACCTTTGAAACATGTTATTATATAGTAAAATAGCTGAATTAAGTTCTCACACCCTAAGTAATTATGCCTACGCTTGCCTTTTTAGGGAGCAATCCTATGCACAAGAAGCTGGCATAAAGCAAAGTGGCATAAATTAAGGCTGCATAAGGTTACATCAGATCTAAACCCTGTTCAGCTGTGACAACTCTGCATAAGCCCGGCAGAAGGAAAATGAAGCTTTAAAATAGTGTTCAATGGCAGGTTGCCAGGTCATGTGACAAAGCTGAATTGGCTTAGGATCCAGCCTAAGTGCCTCCATTCTGGTCCCGCCCCCACTATGGCCCCTGGAGCATCCCTTTCTGGGGACTTGCGCTGGCCTTGGCTCAGACAGCTTCACCTCAGCAGCTGAGTCCCAGCAGAGCCAGGATGAGCAAGTTCTACTGGCATATTGTCGGCAGAGCCAGGGTTAGGGAGTTAATGGTGGCTAAGCTGGGTATCAGACAGCTGAGCTGGAGATCTGCTGCATCCTAAGCTACTCATCCTGGTAGATCTTGCCACAGGATTCCCCCTTTAGTATGTTAACCCAAACAGCCAACATGGCTCTTCTGCAAACACGCAAGCAAAACCACACACCCCCTGCTTGAGAACAGACAGAATGGACAAACCTCACACTCACTTGGTCTTCTGGCAGCAAATGTTCCCTCTATCACAGGGTACCAGCCCCCCCCCCCAAATATGGAGGCAGTGCTGTCCATTTCCTGCATTTTATTTATGCATTTCTTTAATGTAGCTATGCTCCACCCTTTAGCCAAAGAGTCTCTCAGTGTGGCTTACAAAAATCAGCATTAAGTTGTTTATTGTGAAGCCCTCCTCTAAGTTGTGCCTGGCAGCCTGAGCGGCATAAGCAGCTGCATGTTTTGTAAGTGCTGATGAAATGAAGGACAACTTTAAACATGAAGATAAACCCAAGAGGGAGCTGAATGCAATACTAAGGCTACATTTTCCTGCTTTTAGTGCTAAAAGATTTGCTACAACGGCTTCCAGCTGATATTTGTTTATCCCTAAAGGCAGAAGCATCTAACCTGGGCATCTTCATGGATTTCATATTATATTTTGAAATGTGAATGTGATGTCTAAAAAACCTGCCTGGATGGCTTAGAAATTGGTAGCAAATGCCATCCTTGCTTACTTGAGGGCAAATCGGCATTAATCTGTGAATTTGTCCACACGAATTGTGTTCACTGCAATCATCATGATGATCTTGAGCACTG